AAGCCATCTGTAGATTGTTTCCCTGAAAGCAATTAGCATGTGTAGGGCATCTGGGTTAATTAAGAGCTCTGGCAGAGTAAATGCTTGTTTTTCCATTGATCTCAATGAGCATGAGCCGCTGGATGCTTTTATCCACATCTTCACCATAAACAATTATTCCATGTTGTGTGAGTCCCGTTAAGGAGTCATCAGCGTCAGACAGGATGCTCTTTCTTCATTACTCAGACAGGCTTCACTGTGGTAGAGTGTACTCTATACAGTAAAAAACTAATGGAAAATCATCTCCTTGCAGCCAGTGTTCATATCCTGAATTAAATTGATTTTTAAATCGCTTTCTTGGACAACAGAGCATCAAATGTAGCTTCTATAAGCCACCAGTTCTTTCAGGACAGACTCCTCAGCTCTAACTGTAAATATTCATAGTGACTTGAAATCAAAAGAGCGAGCTCAGCTAGAGGCTGCATTCAGAGTCAGTGAAATACACTCAAAGGACGTGTTTCTTTTACATTCTTTAAACGACTTGGTTTTGCATGAAGCTTATCATCCACCAAACATATGTTGTCCGGTTAACAGCAGCCACCGTTTTTTCACTCCCACGTCTCACATTTCTCTCAAACAAAAGCAAAACGAACAAAAAAGAAGGGGTCTGCATTCTGTCTTCAGCCCCAAGGATCTCATCTGTTTTGTTCACCAGATATGTGTTTCACTAACAATTACCGCCGCCATATTTGAATCCCAGAGCAATCCCAACATGAACCAGAAGGATGGCAACTGCTTCCAATTTTTCTTTTTGAAAGGCTGTTTCATTGGTTCTTGGGCTTCCCACAGTGCATAGAAACGATGTCAACACTGGCACTGAGCAATTTGGTTTCTATTTGCAAGTCCACCTGCGTCTCTGTGCAAGTCACCTAAACCACTGCCAATTCATCTCATTCTCGACTGACCTTTTATGAAATGCTTCCAAATTGACTCCTGTTTTTGGCCGAGGGGAAAAAGTCTCTTGTACTCCTCGACTAGTCCGTTTCTATTCTTGAATTCTGAGACACACAGATGACAGTCGTGCCTCATGGGTCTCAGATTTTTTGGATCTGTTTAGCAAAAGCATTTTCACTCTTGAGCTGTGGTTTTCACAGGCACAAAATGTGTATCCATGCCCCCACAGTAACCACTGCATTTAAATGACTATTATTAAATAGGGTCAGTGGGAAAACAACACCACCACAATCTATTTATCCAGTTTGCCCCAGAGGAAACAGCTTTTGTTTCTGCAGGGTCTTTTTTTTTAAAGCCACTTAATGCTTTGGGCTGTATTCAAAACAAGATGCAGAGACAGGAAGTTTAATCATATGAGCTGTTCCAGAGTTTAACTGAGATGTTGCAGAACGGCAACAAACTGTATGATTTATACAGCTGCTTCTGTAGGGCTATGACTTTCGTGTGACCTTTTGGACATCAAATTAAATTTGTTGTTGCCGATAAGGCACGGCAGAAAGATGCAAAACAGCATCATCCAAAGATTCTTCTTTCAGTGCAATAAATTCTGTGTGTATCCTCAAGGCTAAACAGTCTCCAAGGGTCTTTCCTCCTAAGTAAAATGTCCCATGTTATTCCCACAGGGGAAAGCGATACTGTTACTTCCTTTATATTTCTGGCAGCCCCCAGAGAGTTTTCTGGATATATTTTGATCATGTTCATCTGTGGTGAAAAATTTTAAGTCAATGCCACTTCTGTCGTACACTGTGTGTTTGCTGCTAGATAAAATGAGAGCTTGACAGCAATCTTCAAAACAGAAAACTCACTTTTTTCCTGCAAAGTTTTTTTTTCTTTTTTTTTTGGCAGGTGTGAATCAAACACAGACAACAGCTACCAGCAACATAAAAAGACAAGAATGCTTTCCACCCATTCACACCAGCTAACATCTGTCATACCATATCCCATCTCACAGGAGCCAGAAACAATTATAAACCTTTAACCAATCGTGAAACACTCAGAGAAGTAGTATGACATTTCTGGAAGTACCAAGAGGCACTTGACACCATTCAGTCTGAAACAGAAAACAGAGGCTCTGAAGGTTCCAGCTTAATCCATTATACTTCAGTACAAAATGTACAAATAATAACTATAGTTTTATGAGAGTCATTTCAGTAGTCAGGTTAGGTCAATGGAGTGACTACTTGAAATCATAAATAAGGGATTTAGTGTTAAGTGGTGACTTTCAGTTAAGTGATGGAATTCGCAGCCCTCATTCACTAGGCTTTGTGTGCAGAATTACAATTTTGAGCACAAACTAAGAGAAGAACTCACTGTTCTGTTTTTTCCATAGTCTTATGGAACAATCTTCCTGTTGCTATCTGGGCGTCTGACTCTATGCCATTGTTTAAATCATGGTTAAAGACTTGTTTATTTAATCTTGCTTTTCCACCTAGCTAATATTTGGTGTGCGTTGATACATTTTTATCCATTATGCGTTGTTAACTACTTTTATGTATTATGATATATATAAATATATATTCTCTTACTCTTTTCTCTCCCATCTTCTTTTTCCTATCTTATCTTATTTTGTCAAGTACCTTGGTATACCCTTGGTTTTTAGTGTGCTTTATAAATAAAGATTATTATTATTATTATTATTGTTATTGTTATTGTTATTATTATTATTATTATTATTATTATTATTATTATTATTATTATTATTATTATTGCTAGAAAATAAAAATCATTCTAAGCTGACTGACAGATGCCAGCTATTCAAGCACTAATTTCTCTATATAACGCCTCGGGCCTAGAGAAGGTCGGTGATTCCCTGGCAACCTCTAGTTGCTCGAGGAAAATGTGGCCATCACTATCTGGCAACCCCCAGTGGTAAAGGAAAAATGAGCATTCCCCAACCAGCTGGCAAGTGGTTTCTGGAGGTTCCTGGCTGTTGCCAGGTGAAATCCATTGCAAAGAGGGTCCTACTTGTTGTTCCTAGAGTATTTAAAAGTAGAATGGGAGGCAGAGCCTTCAGTTTTCAGGCCCCTCTTCTGTGGAACCAGCTTCCAGTTTGGATTTGGGAGACAGACACTATCTCTACTTTCAAGATTAGGCTTAAAACTTTACTTTTTGCTAAAGCATATAGTTAGGGCTGGACCAGGTGACCCTGAATCCTCCCTTAGTTATGCTGCAATAGACGTAGGCTGCCGGGGGATTCCCATGATGCATTGAGTTTTTCCTTTCCAGTCACCTTTCTCACTCACTATGTGTTAATAGACCTCGCTGCATTGAATCATATCTGTTATTAACCTCTGTCTCTCTTCCACAGCATGTCTTTTATCCTGTCTTCCTTCTCTCACCCCAACCGGTCGCAGCAGATGGCCGCCCCTCCCTGAGCCTGGTTCTGCCGGAGGTTAAAAGGGAGTTTTTCCTTCCCACTGTTGCCAAAGTGCTTGCTCATAGGGGGTCATATGATTGTTGGGTTTTTCTCTGTATCTATGAAGCGCCTTGAGGCGACTTTTGTTGTGATTTGGCGCTATATAAATAAAATTGAATTGAATACACCAAAAACCATGCCAATTGCTGTGGTCTTTGGCAGATTGATTTGGTCGCCTGGAGTTTTTTTTGCATTTGGTGAGTGTTGCAGGTAAGTCCATGTCTTACATGGAAACCCCAGTCGGCTATGGTGATATTCTAGCAATCGAAGCAATTGCAGCAAGGTTTTCGGTGTTGCACCTTCATTGCGACTGATTTCAACAAATGACAGACAGAAATTTTCAGCAACTAGTTAAGGAATATATGTTTGACCCAGACCTGTTTAGGAAAAAAGCAGAGAGAATTAAAGAAAAGAAGAAAGATGGAAGGAAAGAAACAGAGGTGCCGAGTGGACAAAATAGCAAGACTCCATTAAAAGAGAAAAATAGTCTCATGACTGAACAAGTTGTCTCAGTTGGACACCAGAAAGTTTACTTTTCCCTCAGGAGTGATGATGGCTTTTCTTTGAAAAATAAAAAGAGTGACTTGGGCTGCAGGAACTGAGAGATGGATGTTTCGTCTCCAGAGACAGACTCTGGATGAATGAAAGAAAGGTTTCATATCAAAGCTGATGTGGGGGGGAAAAGAAAAAAAACAGTAAGAGACCAGAAGAAAAGCAGTGTTCACATCTAACCCTTGACAACAAAGTAGGTTATAGATGTAACTACTCCTCCAGATTTTACCAATAACATACAGTGGAAAAAAGCCTGTTGGCAGTCTTCTTTTATTTTATTTTATTTTTTTCATCTGACTTACAGCTGCACAGATTCATAACCAATACACAAAGTAATCAAATATGCGGTTTTCACATGTCTGCACTATGTTGGGAGAATCAGGTCATATTATTATTCAAAAGTGTTCTTTCTCCTTTGTAGAACACAACAGGAGACAGTCAGACTCTTTCTCACTCCTGGAAATACTTTGTTTGGTTAAGGCAGGCGAGCTGTCTGGGTTCAGCGAGAGGGAGGCAGAACACGATGATTCCCTGAATCATGAATTCGCTGGACGATTCGTTTTTCTGCTCGCACATGAGCTCAGTCAGACATCACGCAGGCTTTGCATCAAGGAAAAACTGTTTAATGTTCCACTGAGTCTTACAAGCAAATCCTTGCATGTACCTTTCGGCAAAAATTCAAGACTGCACTGCATGTGTGAAAACAGCTTTAGGTAAATCAGTCGAGCCTTGAAATAAATAATTAACTCAGCCATCTGGCCTGACATTGATCTTATTGTACATAAGTTTTAAATCAGCTCTCTTTTCATTGTGCTTCACATTTTGCTTTGACATTTTCTTAACATTTTGACAGATGTCAGGTAGATTTCCTTGCCATAAGATTAAAACTATAAAATATTTAGAATTACTTTGATAATAAAAGTACACTCATTGGTCAGTAAGCACACTCTTGTCTTCTTTTCTGGTGCTTTAAACGTGGAGGACTCTGCATTTGTGAGTCTATCGCTGCATGATTTGCATTGTATAGTTTTTAGGGGCATGAGCATAAAGTGAGCATAAAGTCAAACTTGCAGCTGTATATTTGAAACTGTAACATGAAAGGGTTTCATGTGCAGATATATTCTGAAACCATCAAAAGACCATTGAGTTCTTGCTTCACATCAGCTTCATCTAAATAGAAGTTGAAATGTTCTCACGGCGGCCGCTATGAAATTGGATGCTGGGTGAAGATGTCATTTCTGTCTGCGTCGTGCTTCCATTCAGACAGAAAACAATTTAACAACCTGGTGATCAGTAGTTCTCATATATATGTGATATCTTAGACTAAATTATGGTAATTACCTTCTTTAAGACTGCATATGCCATCATTTCACAGCCTTCTGCACATAAAGAACTTAATGTCCTACTTAGAGGGAATCTGTGAAGGTTTTAAAATGAACAAGAACAACATTAGAAAAATCTGAAACTGGCTTTGAGAGGTGGTTTAATCGTGGGCAGATTTATCCAATGGTACTACAAGAGTCTATTGTTCTGCCCATAAGAATATTATGTTGTGCTATTTTCAGCTGTGTTGTGTCATCGTATTGCTGTCAGGTATGTTACAATCCTCATTTAAATGCAAACATTTAACTAATTTTTGAAAACTGGCCTCTTTTTTTTTAATAGAAGAACATCAAATGGATTTTTTACAGTGTTCAGCAACATTTACTCCATTCATAAAATATGCAAGTTCATTTGAGTTCATCTAACAAGACTGAACTTCAATCTGTGGTTGAACTGATTGTCTTTTAGGGCACAGTATCTTTGAGAAAGCCCTTCGAAAGCTGCTGTGGCACACAGGGTACAAGAACGGGTTGATGGCAGAGTTCAGCCACAGAAGCCAGAAGGTAATCTCGTACCAGTAGTTCGCCACACATTTACCGCTACAGGCGGCACGGATAATCATCAGTAGAGTGTACGGAGCCCAGCATATCCCAAAAATGCAGACTATAATGGCTAAAGATTTAGCAATCTTTTTGTCTCTGGAAAGCCGAGATCCCGGTGTCCTACGGCCAGGCACCATGCAGGAGGCCGTGTGCTGAAACAACCTGGAGTTTTTTCTGTGCGGAGAGAACTTCTCTCGCTGCATTAATATCTGACTGGCGTTAGGCTCCCCGCTGGAGGAGGGAGACAAGATGTCGTCATCTTCGATGACCGCAGAGATCGCAACAGGCTCGCTTGACATCACCTTCCGAGTCTTGACAAAAAACACGGACCACCCGGCTCCATCTTTATGTTTCTCATTGTTCTTCTGAGGCTTGGCATTGTCTTCAGCACAGGCGGCCCCACTCTTATTCCTCCGATGGATGTTGAGATAGATGCTGAGGTTGAAAAAGGCCACCGACACAAACGGGGTGAAGAACTCAAAGGTAGACGCACTCAGCAGGAAGTACCAGGTGAAATAAAACTCAGCATAGCACTCGTGGGCCGGGACAATGCTGTAGCCGACGATCGTTTCCCAGAAGATGATGGCAGGGCCGTAAAGGAGGAAGGCCAGCACCCACACCGCCACCATCTTGAAAACAGCCTGGTGGGTCATGTTCCTCTGAGCTCTGTATTTAACCTGTGTCAGAAGAGAGGCACAAGTATGACTCACAGTGATGTGCCGTGAACAGAAACTCTGCATCATAATAACACTGCACGTTACATTTCAAACACCCACAGCTGCTCAGAGTATCTTCCCCAAATGAACCCCTTGTTGCATTGTGCGGCTTTGGAGCAGGAGAGAGACGCTGTAAATAAAACCCACTCGTGGAGTTTTTATACCACGGTGTGTCTCCGAAGCCAAAGAGAGAAGGGGAATGTCAGGCTGACAGCCACATTCACTGATGCAACACTAGTATGAAAGAGACATCTGGTTTCTCCCGATCTACCCCTCCCTCACCGTCGCTTATTCTCTTTGCTTTCATTCCATTTTCACTTCACCTCCTCTCGGTCTAAATGCTATCATTTTGCAGGGCTTCTCTATCTGCTGCTCTCCCCTTTGGTGTTGTTGTTGTTTTCTCAATCTTTTCTTTTTCTCACACAATCAGAATGTCTCTCTGCAGATTCAACAGCTGGATATATGTCAAGTGAAGCAAGTGAAGCTGCCAGCATGTCTGTGGTTCAAGAGCAACTGGGGAAAAAATCAGTAGTGAAACAGATCCAATACAAGATGCTCATAAATAATTATGGCCCCAGTTTCAAGTGTTCACTACAAAAGCACAAGACTCCCTATTTCCACTGTAAATTAACGAAATACTGCACCCTACAGGCTGAATGTGAAGAAACTGACCAATAGGCAGTCTAACCAATCATCAGCCAGATTTTTTTTTTTGTAAATCTCGTATCAGTTGACAGAAAGTTAAAAGTTTTAATAAATTAAAAATAGACTGCAAGAGGATACAAATTTTCACATTGAAATATTTAGGTTTTACAAACATTTCTTTCGCTTTTATATCTAATACTGGCTATTTGATTAAAGTCAATGACTCTTTTAGAGCAACAGAAGAATTACTCATCTCGTACAAAATGTAGGGAAAAACTGAAAAAACTGCCAAAAACTGAAAAGAATGATCCAAGATCAAATGAGCAGACAGTGAAATATACTTAAGAGGTTTTTGTCATATTTCAAGCCTGCTTAGATTAAAATGACTGTGTTAGCATCAGAAGTGAGTGAGTTTGGGCTCTGCCACAGATGCTACCCTTGGAAAAATCCAGAAACTGTTCTAATATTCGTCAAACCACACTTTAATGACAAATACTGAAGTATCAAATCTCTTCATTTAGTCGTCAAATGTTATCTTTATGTGTTGTCTTTATTTGAGAAAGAGTTAAAGGGACAGTTCACTAGTTAGTTGCCTGTATTCATCTAGACTGGTATGAGATCCCTATAGAGTTGCCTGCCTTCTCTTGAATATAACACAACATGATATTGATGAGCAGCAAAACAAGTCTTCGTTTAGCTAACAATAAAACTGCTCACAATGTTTGTGGGGGTTTTTTGGTCACTGATTTTTAATAATATTTTTAATTACACATTTAGTTCCATTGTTTTCCAACAGAAGGCAGATTCTGTATAGCTACTATCACCAAAACTGAGCGGCTCATACCAACGTAACTGTCGCAACAGGCTGGAAAAATTTGATTTTAGGGTGAACTTTCCTTTTACTTCTAGCTTTAAGATTGAGCATTAGTCCCTACTCATGCACGCTAACACATCTCTGACTCACCCTGCTTCTTACACCCCCTGAAAAAAACCTAAAAAAACATAAACCCAATCACAAAACCATGATGACCCTAGTGACATCACTGTGACATATTGACTGTTATTTAACCCCCTGGAGATCCAGAGAAGACATTCTGCAGCTGTTTTCACAGGATAAATCTGAAAAGTGATGAGAAAACTGAGCTGTGTGATGGAATATATAGTTTATTTGACTGTTGAGCCAGGGCTAATGTTTACACTGATAATATTTTGGCTAAGCTGATGAACAAAGCACTCACTTGACAGCAATACCCTGGTGAAAGAACGAAGCTGTGAATACAAATGATTCTAAGCACACTACAAGCTATTTCAGGGAGTGACACATTTTGGACCTAAATGTGGTCGCCTAGTATGTGAACTTGATGAGCGTGTGTGTATATGTGTGTGGTAATGAGCGCAGACTGTACTTACCGCTCTTGTGACTGACAGGAAGCGATCATAACTAATAAGGACAATGTTGAAGACAGAGGCTGAGCAAAGGAGGTAATCCATGACCAGCCACACTTTGCAGAGCCCTTTGCCCAGCATCCACCTGCCGGTCAGGTTATAGGGGATGTACACGGGGATGCAAAAGGCACCTGGAACACACACACACACACACACACACACACACACACACACACACACACACACACACACACACACACACCTCATTGGTGATTCACCAGCCACCAGCATCAATATTCACACTTTCCCATACCTTCACAGTTTCTGGGTGTAAGATGCATTACATGTGGCAGAAAATTAGCGACAAGACGCAGTTCCAGGAAACCTGTGACATTGTAGGAACAAGAACAATCTAATATGTCTCTTTCATTAATGACAAGGGTATAATTTAACTAAAGCTGTAGATAAGAGGAGCTTTCACTATAAGAGGGACGTGAGTGCTCTTCAATAAAACGGAGGAATGCCACAATTACGCGGAGTAGTCCGTTGTAATTTAACATGTGAATAACGCAAAAGGGATGTAAAGGTCATCATGAACTCGCCGCTAATCAATAGTTAGACGCTAATTACAGTGTGGGAAAATTACAATGTGCTTGGGGCGCGCGCAAAAAAAGGGTTTCATTCAAAAGAATGGACTCAGACAACACGAACGGATAAAGTGACAAAGAAGGAGAACTTACCCACTAGAAAATCGGATATAGCAAGGTTCAAAAAGAAGTAGTTGCTTTGATTTCTCAGGGTTTTGTCCACAATAAAAGCCATGATGACCAGTGCGTTCCCTGCCACAACAACGACAACCAGAGTCACCATAAGTACCGATAAGATCACCACCAGGTAGCCCGGCAGGACAGCCCCAGCTTCCGACACCGCAGGCGTCAAGTTGCCGCTGGAGTTGGACTCCAGGATGTGCGCGCCCATAATTAATTGACTGCCAAAATCATTGTAGGGTTTTTTCATCGCACGCACAGAAACACCGGAGAAGTCCAAAAATGCGCCTAAACGTCCCGCTCCACTTCATGAAGACAAGTTAAACACGAAGACCTGTGAATCGTTGAAGACTTTTCCCAAATCTTCCATTTCTTAAAACACTAGAATAAGTCTCCGAGCTACAGACACGAGTTAAGAACACTCTGTTATAGTAATACTAATAATGATTATTGTTCCTCTGGGTCCTCTCTCCTTTCTGGACTCTGTCATCTACAATCTCAGCTGATGCTGGATGTGCTGATACTGCGGAGCGCACCGTTGGTTTTGTTAACAACGTCAGTACTGACCAGATGTGAGATAAAGTACTTAATCCGGATGTTTTTCAAAATAAAACCAGTCCTGTAAAGTTTCAAGACGAACAAGGCGCATCGGTGTTTTCTAAATCTGTTTTCAAGATGCACATTTAATGTGACAAGTTACATTTGATGTTCTGCCGTCGGCAGAAAATATAAAAATGACAGCCAGCATGCAGCTTAATGAGCAACCTAAATAAGAAGGCATTTAAAACAATTGCCCCTTTTAACACCCACTTTAAGACATAACAATATTATTGTTGGCTGTCGGATTAAAATGTAAAATTCTCTATAAAACGTCCTTCTTGTATGTTTTCCAACAGATGTGACGAATTCTTAACCTTTTATTTTGAAAACAAAACAAATTCCGGCCTTTTTCAGACGATGTTTGCTATTTTGGACGATTTGCTTTTTTTTGCCCACCCAACAGCTGATCAAAGGCTCATGTCTGCAATCAAAAGCTGAAGTGCTCCAGGCGCATGAAGCAGGCTGAGATGAAACGATCTGAGCTTTATACAACAGGATATCGCAATAAGCCAGCCAGCAGATATTTACACAAAGCAACAAGTTCCGTGACTCAGAGGCCAATGTCCAGTGTGAATTACCATATTATCCCTCCCATCCCTTTATTTCGCGAAGAAATTACGTAATTATCTAAAATTACTACTGACTTAGCTATGCAAATAGCCCCTCTTATTAAACACAGGGTACCCAGACTAATATCAGAACACAAATACGGGCACAAACTGAAAAATCCGTTTGTTTTCTGAAATGAGCTGTCAGCCTTCTGATACTGGGGATGAGATTGTTCTTAACGAGTCCCAAAATATCACATAAAGGGGGAAAACAATATCTTCTGTTATCAAATAATCACTCTTGTTTTTATAAGTGCATTTGTTTTTATTGGATAATGTCATTACTCTGAGTTTGTGATCCTTTTTCTCTTTAATAATATATGTGATACTCTTGAAGTAAGGTTGGAAAGCCTAAAGAAAAATTAACATCCTGCATCTTTTGCTATACACCATTACTTAACCTCAGTAACAAATGCCGTGGCATTAGAGAAAAGACATGGAGATTGATTTATTTAAGAATATCCTGCCAGTAACAAAAAAATTATGACAAAGCTGCCAAAGAATTATAGGATGGCATTATCTCCCTTTCTTGTACAGGAAATTTGTCTTATGTTTATTAAGATAAGGAGAAAAGCGAAATTGAAGCGCTTTTAATTTAAGGAAATTGACCAGCTCTTATCATGACTGCCATACCTCTTGGTCATTTCAGTAAAAAAGAAAAAAAAAGTAGTAAAAATTAAAAAAAAAAGAAAGAAAGAAAGAAAGAAAGAAGAAGAAGACTGTCCATTTTATGAGCCTAAGACTGTTTGCTATGTGAAAACCAGACCCATCAGAAAATATGAGTTGTAGGCAGTGTTGGTCAAGTTACTTGAAAAAAGTAATCAGTAACTAATTACTGATTACTTCCACAAAAAAGTTATCCCGTTACTTTACTGATTACTTATTTTCAAAAGTAATTAATTACTTAGTTACTTAGTTACTTTTTAAAAACACAATTTACAACCTGAAGAGGTGATAAAGCGATAGGTCTTTCAGCCCTATTCTACTTTTTCTACATAATCCATCATACAAAATGTAATCAAATGGAAAAGTCTCTTTTTTTAACTTGTTTTATCAGTTTTAATCTTTTAACTTTATGCATCAAGCAAAAATTTAATTATATGCAACATTCTCTGACTTGAATAAATTAGTTTAACATTTAAACCTATTTTCTACACATTCCAGCACATAAAATAAAATATTTTTTGTGTTTACACTCACTCTTTCAAATAGATGCAAGTAAAACACAGCAGGAAATAAAGTCAAAGATTCAGCGGTCCTGTTGCTCTATTTTCACCTGTAAAGCAGGACTACGGTAGGCGGAGGTTTACCCTGGTGCAGGTGTGCCGTGGTCAGTTGAAGAATCCGCGAGTTTCTCTGTGAATTTCCCATTGCGTCGTTGCGCACTCGGTGCTTGCTTGGTAGTTTAGGGGGTTTTTTCGCTGTAAAAAGAAGTTTTCTTCCCACGCACGATGGACACGAATGTTTTTGTCACTTTTTATGGAATCAAACTCAAAGTAAGGTCAGTACTTCCACGCTTTAAACGCTGCACGCTCATACTCTCTCCCACAATCGATATGTGATCCATTGTTGATCTGCACACAGCTGTTGTCACTAATGGCGCACTCGCTTACGTCACTGTCGTGAGACATTCTCGCAAAAAATCACGGTTTTAGTAACGCAGTAACGCAGCGTTCCTACGGGAAAGTAACTGTAATCTAATTACCGTTTTTGCAATAGTAATCCCTTACTTTACTCGTTACTTGAAAAAAGTAATCAGATTACAGTAACGCGTTACAAGTAACGCGTCACTGCCCATCTCTGGTTGTAGGCTACATCTGCACATCATCAGTGAAAAGTTTTCGGGGTGTCTTTAAGTTTTTTGCAACATCTGTCATTAAAAAATGAGGAATTTGAAACTTTATATGAAACTTTTATGAGCTTTTTTAAAATATATATATATATATATTTAACAATTTGATTTAGTCAATAATCATCATTTTTTTTTAAACTACTGAGAACTCTGGGGTGACAAACTTTGTCTTACACCTAAATCGAACGAGTGGTGCTAAGTCCACATATATTTTTCATCATTTATGAAATTAATGGTTTTTGGCTGTAAAAACATGTTCAAGTTACAGTTATATGATGAATATGGGGTTAAAACACCGACTCTCATCTCAGCAACAGGTGTTGAACAAAAATACAGCATTAACTCATAAGGAACTCCATATTTATACAATCTTGTGTTTTCAGGAGCTTAGGTGCAATAAGACAAATTAGCATAATAACAAAGTGTTTATTCCTAAACCTTTCCCAGTTAAGGACCCTTGACATTGATTGCTTACCGTCTGGAAGCTAAAGGCATCACCAAACAATGGATTTTCTCTCTTTTTACTGCATTTGCTACTATGACGTGCAGTCAAGACAGTTTTGCTGAAGAGAGCAAAAATTATAGCTCTTCAGATTTCTCGCCGCTTCTGGCACATCATCAGTAAACACTACTGACCCAGTGCAATTTGATGTCAAGCATGCCCTGCTCTGACAGATTTACCTTTTATTTTAAGATGCGTTTTATTTAACTCTAATCTGTCTTTCCTATTCTCTAAGATGATGACTCTTTGGCACCTTGTGATAAAATATCTGCAATTCTTCTTGTGAGCAATGGTATTGCTTTTCATTTGGAGAGTGGTTGTCACTTCGATAGACATTGTACAGGGTTTCTACAAATTTACCAAATTGCCAATCCAAATGTTCCTGTTATCTCTTTCTGTGATGGATTCCTTTGAGCTCATCTGTCTGTTGTATGTTCACAGCTTCCAAATGCTCCACTTCAAATCTTTTGCCAAGCTAAGTTCATAAAGAAATACCCCAGACCTAAAATGTACCAAAAATGGCTGCAATTCTTCAATGGTGAATACTTTTGTCTGACCACTTCAGATAAACCAGATTCATTATACAACCTCAGCTTGAAACATAACGTGACAGTGTGCAAAAATATATGATCTGCACTGAATGTTCTTGGGCAGTTACTGAAACAATGACCTAACAGGCTTGCGTGGCAGTATCGGTACGGACTGTGCAGATGAAATTTGAAACCAAGCGCTCTAATTATTCTCCTCAGCCTTGAGTATGAAATTGAGTTCTTTGCAAGCCCCTGAAAAACATGATTAAGGGCTGAGATGATTGGGTTCAGCGTGATGACAGCTTGTCAGGGAGAAACAACTCTGCTAAGTGAATTAGCTGTAATTATTTCTAATGGCTGAAATGAGCAGGCGGCTTTGTAAACAGACTTGGAGGAAATCTTTTCTAAAATGTGTTATCATTTGCGCTTTCATTCAATCAAAATATCTCTCTACATTTGTATGGTATCAGTTATATTTTCTGAAGATAATGAGCGCAGATAAAAAATTTTTTGCATCATAATAGTCAGGTTCTGCTGGTGGAACCAAATTAAAAAGTGCCTGTATGAGACTTGGATATATTTAGATAGTGGTCCTTTGGTGCTTAAAACCCACTTCAAAGCATTAATATGCAGAATGTCTTTCCAGAGATCGAGTGACACAAAAAGGTGAGGTGAGACAAAATCTCACAGGAGGGAATGAGTGGTAAATGCTCTGAAAGACATTCAAAATGTGAAAAGGATGTCTATTTAACAGGCTAGAAGTGTGTGCCAAAAGCACTGGAGAAAATGGATGTGGACTGTGTTGCAACTCAGTAAACTCCATTTTATTAAGCAGTGATGTATGATCGCATTTCTTGGAAACGATGAAATGATTTGTGAAAGATCGCTATTGAGATGCAGATTCAACAGGGAAATGAATTAAAGCTTGCAGGGACAACCTCGTTACTGTATCTCCATCATGATGGAGCATTACAATTTTAAAAATACTGGGAGTGCATGCAGACAAGAAAAAAAATTAGTAATTCGAGGATTTAAAAATACTGGCGTATTCTTCAGACGTGGATCAACAATCTTCAGATGTGGGGTACATTCAAAGTCATGATCATTGCACAAATCCCCATAATTTGTTTTAATGAAATGTGAACTGTACACATTTTATTTCGAGGCTTCTTAAACTAAATATAAAAATATACATTCCAGAGTTAAAGCAGTCATCTGAGACGTCATTTTGAAATCCCAGATGATATTTTATGACCTTGAATGAAAACTAAATTGCTAGAAACCATTTGTCTTCTAAGACACATCTCACATCTCTTTCTAAAAACGAGCTTTTCGTTGAATTCGACATCAAATACTGAACGTGTGCTTGAAAAAAGTTCTTCATTTTTCTTCTGAAATTCACTTTGTCTTCTTGCCTTTTGGCCTTTTGGTCTTTAGTCCTGATTTGTTGGCCTCATCCTGTGAACCAAGAGGGGAGGATTAGAGAAAGAATGATTGTGTTACATTAGCACTCCATTTAATGGTGCCAGAGCTTTTTCCGTGCTTAATATCTGAGTGCTTCTTTACAGCTCATGATAAACTCTTTTGCCTAAAACTCCCGCTGTGTTTGCAAATGTGCAAATTGCAATGTACTGATTGACATGCACCATGCTGTTTTAATGTATTCCTGTAATTGCATCAAACAAAACATTGCCATCCTAAGTACTTTTAGGAAACATCCTCTGCTAATTATTAGTCTGGCAATCCAGACTGCCAACTTGTAGAGAACTCTGGAACCTGTTACATAGTACAGGGTGAACAAATGTTCACTGAGTCTGTCTTGATGCATCAATTTTGTCTGAGTTTGTTTTTCATATTGGCGTAGAGCTTTATACAGCAGGAAATTGCTTTGATACCATTTTTAATAAGTGACTCATATACTGCAAAGTAACTGGCAGTGACCTGTTCCTCCTCAGGTGTGAGACTGATTCAGCTCTTTTCCCCCCTCTAAACTGTAGTCTCTTTTTCTCCTAAATCAAATCCTATCCAGGTATTCAGAGACTTTATGCAATTTTGGATTTAGCTTTTGCAAAACTGATCTCACTCACCTTACCAAAAATGATTTTCTCCCATTCGATATTGTCTCATTGGTTGTTGGGTAAGTATGCTGACTTTTGTAAAGGCTGTACACTGTTAAGAAGGAGCCCTGGGACACTGATTTCAGGGACTGACTGTTTCCTCCTCAAAGAATAAAAAGTTCCAGATTTCCACCAACATATCTTCCTAGACGAAATTAAATAAGTGTGCCCCAAGGGTTCGGGTCCTGTTTTTTAAATTTATTTTTTACATACACATCAACCCATCATTAAAGCTTGACTCAGGAAATTCTTAACAGTTATCAGTTTAAGGGACGTTATGAGGATGTAGCTGAGAAGACCTCCTCGTTTTCTCTCTTTATTGCCTTCCGGTGTCCGGTGTACACACGGCACAGAAAATAACCGGCTACTCTGAGGTTAAGGTGACATTTTTTTTTTAAATTCATCATGTCTTTGAGATGAATCTGACTTAAACAATCCATCCTACCGCCAAGGGGACATTTGTAAAATTTCTCCATATTTAGTGAAATATAGTGCTGTGCAAAAATCGGCCCTCATTTCTTTACATTTTTGCTAGGAAAATGCAAAATGGGTACAGTGATTTAAACATGTACAAAATTTGTTGCCACTGATGTTCAGTCGAGTTCTTCTATATTTGGTGCATCTCAGCTTTTTCTTCCTTTTTCCTAAGAATAATTTCTTGTCAGCCACCCTGTCGATGATGAGACCTCAGCAAAGCATCTCTCAGGCCCTGTGTCAAGTCTTTGCTGGATTTCTTCCTATTTCGTAATGGCTTTCAGCTACTGCTCATCTGATTTAAAAATAAAATAAAATAAAAATCTTTTTTTAGGCCTGCCACTTTTATCCTCCAGTTTTCTTCAATTTTCTGAGGACACACAGCACACCAAGTGATTCCCAAAGAATTGTCAGGCTAACAGCTCTTTGGGAATCACTGTCTTTGTTAAATATGGCATTTGTTTTTATAGATTCAGTTAAAGAAACTGGAAAAATATGTGGTTTTGTGACAGGCTGCTAGCAACAAACCACCTAAAGATATCATTTAAAATTTTCTGTTATATGTAAACACTCTTTAAACTGGTGTCTCTTTTATGTTTGAACAAATCATAGGTAGGTGAAACTAAAAACAAATGGTCAAACTCAAAAGAAAACTTTCAAAAACCTCAGGAAAGCCTTAAAACTATTTACTTACAGAAAAGTCTGGCTTCAAAACATAAAGGAGGCTCAATACTTGTTCCCTCCCGGGGCAGATGGCGGGTTGACTGGACCAGCGCAGACATGCTGGAGGACCGGATGCGCTGTCTACACCAGCTCTCGCTTACCTTTACCCACCCCTGTTGCCTGTCTTGTGTTTCTATGGTCTATTGACAGTCATGTGCTTTTTGTGCTGGGGTATTTTTTCTGTTCTCAAACTGTTCTCCCATTAGGTGCTCAGTCTGAGTGGAGTTTTTTTTTCTCCTCCTCTCACCTCATGTTATGTATTTTTGTTGTTTTTTCCTATCAGCCTACCTCTCTGACATGTCTTCCTAATGTGATGTTTGTGTAAAGTTTGGTCAGAAGGTTTCTTTGTAAGTGCGCATGCGCCATTAGCGCTGTAACCTATAATTTCCTTCGGGATTAATAAAGTATTCTGATTCTGATTGAATAATACTCAGGCACAGTGAAAAATAAGAATGTCATATATGAGCTCATGAGGTAATCACAAATTACACCTCAGTACGAGATATTGAGGAGGCTACAATGTTAAACTCAAGCTGATATTCTTTTTTTAATTCAATTTAAACAGAGCCAATTTTAAAAACAAGGATGAAACCTCTTTAAATGCATTCATGTCCCTCCCTTATATAGATGAGGGCTCCTCAAAGCTTTGGTAACTGAGTGTCAAGTTGGTGCTGCCTAATAGATACATTATTGGGTTTAATGTATCTGTTTAGCAGCACAGTACAACCTGAACAGAGATCATTATAATGACCTGGTGCTTGAGTTTCAGAGGGCACAGTTTGAAAGCAGCAGTGTATTACTAGTGTTAAAAAAATGTATGGTATGACATTACTTTCATGTCTCAAAGTGCAAGTGTTAATTTTAATTATATTTGCAATTTGTCCGTTAAAATTGTTTTTTTAACTGTAAGTAAGATGACTTACATTTCGTCACACCAGCCAAATCTGGAAATATTAAAAAAAGCTTAGTATGTATGGACAAATTTCCCCAATGCTCCACTCCTGTGTCTTACTATAGAAATGGTCGAATGAAATACAGTACAAAGCGGTGTAGTTTTCATGAATTCTGGCACTGGCCTGTGGGAGGACCCTTGTTCTAGATTTTTATTAGGTTTGAATGACTTAAGTTATTTGAATGTCATAAAAAATAGTTTTGAGTCATACTTCACATGTTCTAAAAATAGAGTGTTTGTTTTCAATCCAATCTAATCATCTTAAATTCTTATACAAATTTTTAGTAGACTTGATGAAGTGGAGTGATTCTGCAGAGGTGTTAAGTTCTCCTTCCACAGGCAGCAAATTCTAATAAGTTGGAATAAAATAAAGTGCTGATTTTTACAGTGAGTTGATGGGGTTTGGAAGAAGGACAAACTTTTTAAAAATGTAGGTTTGCAGTACCTTTAATCTATCTGTTGCAGCCACTCAAAGGTCAATCATGTATCAATGGAATAACTTTGGAGAACACAAAGGCGACTTCAAAGCAGACTGGACCTAACTTCAGGGCGGTGAAAGCGTGTTTGATCTCCAGAACATGTTGCAACCAGACACTTTGTAATAAACTGACGTCTCACTGTAACTATACTGTGTAACAGTACAACCCCGGCATTCTGACTCTGCTTTGGATGCCAGAAAGGCAAAACCTCGCCTGCAGTCAATCTCTTTGTTTCCAGATAATTGGAGAAACACTGGGTGGTAAGTCAATTAAACTACAAGAAACCAGGTGGTCTCCTGCATCAGAAAACTGGCAGCAAAGTCAAATTTGACTGATGATGTGTCAGCAGAAGATGACAGAGCAATGTGTAAAAGGCTCAGAGTGTGTCTCACCGTAGAGGCAGTGTATCCCTCCTCCACCAGGATGTTACGAGCACAGTTGTTGATGTGTTTGAAGCGATCGGGACCTAACAAAATGCCCCCGAACCACCTAGACACGACCACCATGACATTACGCACGTCCAGGATCTGTTGTGAGAAATAAACGTGTGAAATGAGCTGGCTGAAAGCTTTGATAGCCGTTTTCAAACTGCATCAGATATATTTTACACTATATTTGATTTATAATAAACAGATGAATCTTCATGAAATGCATCTGACTAAGCTTCCAGTCTAAAGCCAAGAACCTATAAATCTAAAATGGATGTATTTGTGGTGTCATTTCTTAGAGTTAGACAGAGATTTATTTTACGTTCAATTTCGTGTGTTCAATATGTGGTTTAAGGACACAGTTAACTTACATTAGGACAGAAACAGAAGGGCTCGATGTCCAATTAATTCATTAAATCACATAATTGAAATATTCTACTTAAACACAAATGAAATAAAAACTACAATAAAACTAAATATCATCTCAAAAAACTGAAATAAGACAGTTTTCTAAGCAATAAAATACCATAACAACAGAAACGTTTAAAAGACCATTCAGAAAAAGTACAATAAATCAACTGTCTACATCTACATGAATGGCATTGCACCCTGCAATGAACATATGGATAATTATCACCCTGCTGTGCTGGAACGTTCAACTATAAAAAGCATTTTGGCACCTTTTACATGATTGCTTTGATTTTCCTGTCAAAAACTGTCAAGTCCAGCTGCAGCAGGTAGCTTTTTGCAGCGCTACCTGCCTTGAACCAGTACCAAACTGCAGACGTGAATTTGGCAAATGTGTGAAGTACTTGGCAGCCAACGAGTGCATTGTTCCCCTCCGGATTTGCCATAAACTAAAACCCCATAAAAAAGAGTGAATATTAGCCTTATTCAGTAAGTTCAATATTTAATTGTTCTCTCTCTACCAGTCTAATAACAGTTTTATGTTTACAGTTTGTTTACAGTTTGTCATCTTGATACCTCCAGATGGAAAAAGAAAAAAAAAAATGCTACAGCAGCTTTACAGGAGCAGCCAGAAACGTCAAAGGTGCACTCTCATATCTCTAAAGTTTGTTTGCAAATAAGATGTGCAATATAACAAATGTGTAAATATATAAAACAGGAAAAGCCTTAAGATTGTTTTTCTTTTTAATTGAGACTGTTTCCCCATGTTCCTCTTCAAGTTCTGCAACTCTTAAGTTTGAGCGCACAAAGATTAAATTGAGATTAATGAAATTCCCAGTAAATGGCAAAAGGCATATTTTCCAAAACACCAGACTGTGGTCTTAAAATGAAGTGGAGAACTTTACTTTGCACTGCCACAAAAAGCAATCTGTCATTTGAAGGGACTCATCCACATCTGACTGCCAGCTCTATCAATAAGATCCCACTTTTATTCATCGCCACACACTTCCACATTCACTGCGAGCGTGCACACATTTAAATGAGGAAATGGGAAGAAAGCCTTATGAAGAGGAATGAGATTAGAGGAAAATAGATTTGGGAAAAGCTCTTCATGTAAATTGCTCACTATGCTGAGAGTGTTGCGAGTAGAAGATTAATCACTGTGTTGCTCAGAAAGATGGAGGACAGCAGATCCAGTTACAGGTCAGACAGCTACAGGAATTTACCTGATTTCTTAAATCTGCTCTCATGCCCGCGAGTTAGAAAAGAAATCTATAAAAGGCTGATAGCTTGAATCAATCTGGTTTTAGGATTAAAAGCACTGATTTTCCTTTATCATTCTCCCCATTTACTATTAGGAATATTAGAAGCAGTGGGTGGCTTCCATGCAGCGCCTGGAGACTGACCTCTGATGTGAGCCAGTCGTTGGTCAAGGACACAGTGACAGCAAAATTAGCCTAGCGTTGTTTGGATGAAAGAAACCGAAGAGGAGCTTTAAAGCTGCCCCTGCGCTCGGCCAAGGCTCTAACTCAGAACCATTTTCCCTAACTGAAGAATGATCTTTTTTTCTACTCTAAAAAATATTTCCTCTGCAGCTTAGCTTTTACTTGCACCTCGTAATATCTAGCATCATAGTTAATGGATTGGTTCTTACCTAGTGCTTTTCTACTCCGTGAGCACACAAAGCACTTTGCACAGCAAGTCTCATTAACCCCCATTCATACATTACTTTGCATCAGATCAGCCTCCAGAGCCACATAGCACTTCTTTCCTCCCTTGTAAAATTGGATCTGTCACTATGAAGCACTCCTGTATCACTCACATTATTCTCTTGCTTATTTTCAATATAAATATATAGATTATTATATTGATTATAAGCTACACTCTGTTGGTGTCGCGAAAGCTTTAGAATAGAAGAAATAAAGTTTAATGCGCTTCCTTGATAGCAAATATAGAACATATAATAACACAGATGCAGGTAAATTAGACTTTCTTTGAATTCTTTCAGCATTTAAAAGATAATTTAAAGCAAAGACTGGCTGAGCAAGTTTTTAAAGCGAACATATGAGCGCTTGATTCATCTGAATTCAGTGTAGCAGATCTCAGTTTCTGACATATCCACACCGATAATCCAATGCACCATTTCACAGTGATTTATCTCTCTAACAGGGCCACACTGGCAGCGGCGACTGCTGTCATCCTATGAATGAAAATGAACTTTGACACGAGTCATGGATTTCATCTGGAAAAGCTCTGACACGACGCAGCACCTAGGAGTAATGAGTAATGACACAACTACTACAAGTCACTGCTGAGCTTTGTGTTATAGGAAACTTTTTGTTTGGTCACAAACCTTTTACTGGCTTTCATTCAACGTTACAGGGAAACAAAAACTGTGTGGACAATAACACATTTTAGTGTGATGTGGGTGTGTGTGTGAATCATAGGGCCATCTGACAGTAAAACCCAGTGACAAGGGCTTCTTTGATATTTGAAATAAAAGGATTAATGACTGTGTGAAATTATTATAGTGGGACCATAGCTCCCAGTGGAGGAAACCTAAACACTATTTAAACATTAGAAGCGTGGTTTATACTACTGCAGCCACATCCCCACACAAAACAATCTCAGTTCTGTTTTTCTCAGCAAGTACACTTCTCTGAATCGATGTTCGGCTCTGCCTTAGAGACCGGCAGCTTCAGTATTTCCACATCACATCATCTCAGTGTCTCAAAATCAACCCTGACAGGCTCAAAGAAATTCATTAGATAGCCTGTCTAATTTAAAAGAGACGCAGTTTTGATGCTCTGTTATGGACATTAGTCTGAATTTTATAAACGTCCTGAATTGATTTTCACTGGAGTTTTGAATACATATTCTTAAAGCTTTATGTGACACCGTCAGTAGATTACTTACTTAATCTATTAGAAGGGTTGCTTTTCACAAAACTGAATTAATACTTCTTCCTCCCTATACAGTTGGCTGTGGTTTAAGGCCATAACTGGAAGGTCAGTGGTTCGATCCTGGGCTCCTCCATTCTGAATTTCAGTGTCCTGAATGCCAATGCCCTTGACACATTACTGTTTGTGTGTGTATGTGATAGGAGTACAGATTATACTTATATTAAACGCTCATAGTATAAGGCACTTTGAGTGGTAGGACTGAAAAGGTGTTAGAAAAAGTGCTATTAAAAGTATAAATGAAGTCATTTCAATAAAAAATGGCAGGTGTGCTATAAGAAACTGCAACAGAATTTAAAATAAGGCCTAGCATTCAGTGTATAAACATTTTTATACCAACAAGAGAGACTAGCATGCTCAATAAGCTGTGACATTTCTATAATCCTTATTGTCCATTAAGCTGAAAGGCATTAAAAAAAGATTATCATTAAAATTAGGAGCATCCTGTTTCAGAATGATGCTGAAATTGAGGATTCACGGCTATAATATATATGTCAGTATGTCCTAAAAGCTCTCTGACAAAGTACAAACAGTACTGTTTATGATGCTAACCTCCATTATACCTCAAAATGCCTTATAATATGAAAATAAAGCTCTCTGCTTTCAGGAGTGCCGGCTTACTTGCTGTTATGAGAAGCAGAAATAGATGTAGAACCTTCATTTATTAGGCTAATTTCACAGTTTAGGTTAAAGTCAAATATCCTGCGATGTTCCCAGTCTGCTAAGGAATCTACCATAATGCAATGACCAACTCGTTTACACATGCATTCACTGTTGATGGCTCTACTGCATGTCATTAACTAATCTCTCTGATGTGTGTTTTTTTTTTCTGTTTGTTGATCACGGTCTCTCTGTGCTCCTCTTTGTTCTCTTCTCTTTCTCTCACCACCCAACTGGTCACTGCAGATGCCTTACCCACCTTCTGCCAGAGATCTCTGCCTGTTAAAAGGGAGTATTTTTTTTCTCCACACCAATTTAAAGTGCCACTCGTACTGGATCGCTGGATCAGCCAGCTTCTCATAGCAAGGTTGTAGCATTGTCTACCTTACAATATAGGGTGTGTCGTGAAAATTAAGATTATGTTTTGGCACTATATAAATAAATCATAAAATACATTAAAATACCCTCAAACCACTTAATGACATCAAATCTGTCTTTAGTTTCAGAACACCTCACCCAAAAATGCCCCCATTGTTTACTGATACAGAGGATATAGGTTACAATACCAGGACCTTGGAACTGGAGAAGCCAAATGTAATTCGGCCGTGTTTTTTATTTATATTATTCGCACTTATGCCTGTCCCGCTGTGACATGTTATAATTTTTAACAAAAAGGCCTAATCTGCTTTGGTGGTGTGACATAAACTGTCAAAACTGTCACAACAGCTACCCTCATTAAGAGTAACTTATTTTGAATGCCAGTAAACACGAAAAAAGTGTCAAGTTTCCAATTTATGCTGCAAAATATGATATTAATAAGTGGTGGTTATCACCACTACCATACTATATGTCTACAAGTGCGTGCATTACATTTGAAAAACATTTAGGTTGATATTGTGGGAGTGTGCCTTACTGATAACAATCTTAATTGCAAAATCACAGCAGTTTCCATATTAAACTGTAAGTGGTAGCATGTAATTTTGACTGCTTGAATCATTAATGCCCATCAAGGGACTGGTGTTGGGTATTAGCTTCAGCTATATGCAAGGCTATGTAGATTGGACACAACTGTCAGTGTCCTTTAGAAATAAACTAAATTATGCATACTGTGAAAATAAACAGGGCAGCACAGACTCCAATTAAGCAATTCAAAAGCCAAAGGAAAGCTCAAGGCAGCCAGCAGATTTAACAATGTGGCTGCCGTTACTGGGCGGACGCTTTTGAGCATTCGGCTTTGGCTAACTGACTAGTTCTTTGGGGATTTTTACCTTTTTAACAAACATAACATGCAGTTTTGGTATGAAGCTGAAAGAGTTATCTGTTGGACCAAAGCATTTTTTTTAATTAAATGATAACCTGCAGTAAATGGAGCAATCTCCCCCCTGCGGCTGTCTCGCCGTCATCTTCACAGTCCTGCAGGAAGCTGTGCTTGTCCTCGCAGTAAATCCTACAACAGACAGAATCACAACAGCTTGGCTTTAGGCGGGAGAGCATTAAGACGTTGTGGTTAGTGTGACACTGTGACACTTAAAGCCTCTTCACCGGAACATTTTTTTCAGTGGTCTAAATGTCACAATATCCTCCCCGTGAGTAATGACCACCCAGGCAGTGCACCAACGACGCAACATCGACCTCATTAGACGACACTTTAAAAAAAAAAAACACCACACATCTCACACACAGGCAATGCCTGAGAAAACACAAACACACACTGAGAAAGGCCACATACACACATCTTTTCACATTATGCACAGTACTGTCAGAAGCCGTCATTTTCTCTGGTGCTTTTTTGACCTTTAATTGCAGCAATGAGCCCTTTGGGGAAGACAGATCAGCCTTGAATCTTTACTTATCTCATGTTCTTCTCCACTGTGGGCGTAAACACATACAGACATATATACTTTATTTATATTAGATCCATTATATATTAAACTAAATAATGTATATTAATTTAATTTATTAGATTGAACCTTTATTAGATGTTTCCTGTAGTGTCCTTTTAATCACAACTGATTCATTTCACATTTCTATACCCACACCTGGGATGTCTCGATTGAACTGACAAGTCATGCTACATCTTTTAAGTTGGACCCTCACTTGCCATCCAAAAGCTTGAATTTTATTCTTTTCTCATTGAAGCTGTTTGGGTAATTGCCTTTTTGAATCAGCCAACCTTTCATAAGCTGCCATTCAATTCTCAGAGAAAAATTTGGTTGATACAATTTTATATTCAGTGATTGCAAGACGTGCAGGCCCTGAAATAGCAAAGCAGGTCCACGCTGTGGTACTCCGTCGTGACATTTTAGTTCAGATTAGTTTCAGCTGGTTTCCAGAATAGATTTTCCTGTTTCACTTTAGTTTTTATTGTTTGAAAATGTTTAATTTTAGTGTAGTATTATCGTACGGATGCTATGTGTGGGGAGAATCAGTGAAGATATTACAATAAACACACAGAAGGATTTGAAAGCAGCTGGCTCACAGTCATGTAGATATCTCAGTCTTAATGAACACATTCATCGATCATTAATCAGGCAAGTTGTAGTAAAATTTTGCTACCCAGCTAACAAATATTTAGACTAAGGCTTTTCTAAGTTCACAAAGTCATTTTATTTAGTTTTTTTGATTTCGTTCTATTTGTCTGTCTCATCATAAGCTCATCATAAGCTTGTTGCTGAATTTCCCAACATTTTTGTGGTCTTCCTCTATTTAGAAAATTCTTATTCACTATTTTTCTTGCACAGATCTCTGAAGGTGCTTTACTGTTACAATTGCTTTCTTTTACACCTCTTATATGATTCTATATTGTGCTCCTGGTGTGATCCACTGCTAAGAAAAGCAGCAGTTTTTCATACTGTGGAATATAAAACTCACAGGGCATTAGAAATGCTTTCTCTATAATGTCACTTCTAAGGTTCAGAGAAATTCATGTTTAAGGCACGGTTTACATCACATCATCATTCTTTACATTTAGAGAAGGACAAGTCTACAAATCACACTCCCAATCTTATCTGATCTACTGGCACACTTGAGACTTTGCAGTCTTTAGCACAGTGGTTCATTATTTTTCCAACCCACACTCAAACAGTATAACTGCTTGTCTGTTACTACTTTAGTGTGAATGTGTTTGTCTATAATTACAACTTAGATGAAGAGCAAACCACACATTTTGAATAATCAGTGTAGAAATCCAAGCATTACAAAGGGTTTATACATTTTTTTAGCAACTATATAAGCGATATGTGACATTACTAACCTGTATGCATAAATATTATGAGTGGCACTGGCAATCTTCTTGTTTTCGTACAGCTTCTCCAGGACCATTTTAACCTGTAACAAATAATGTGGGGAGTAATGAAATGTCACTCTCAGATGCATTTACACTGACTTTACTGCAGAAGCAAGGCATCTCCTTTTCAGCACTGTGTTAGCTGGAACCTGCTTTCATGCTAAAATCCTGATTGAAGGCATACTAAAACAGCAGTGATGTCCAAAAGAAGGTCAGACTAAAAATGATGCTGTATTTGTGCAGATGACAACTTGTCAAGTCAACATGCTGTCTAACACTGCTGACTAATGCACAAAGCAGCATTACTCAACTGTTTATGAAGCTAAATCACCTCATGTATTAATTAAACAGACACTGAAAGGCTCAAAATAAAACTGAGGCTTGACTATAGTGTGACAAAAATTGGTTTTAAATTCATGCCTCCCCTGCCTGTTCCATTTTTGTAGTGCTGTCACCGTCGTGTCACCTTCGAGTTAGTTACCAAATTTAGCCAGTTGGCTTCTGTGCTGGCAAAGGCTACAGCAACACTTCAAAAGTTACTCTAAAACAGTTAACACAATGTATGTAACAGACAGACGTAGCTTTCAGCTCTGAAAGATGATGGCATCGTGCCTTAAACCTGCACTCCCTTTAATGACCAGAAGGGGGCAAAGGGGGTCATTGCTTAAATAACCCATTTAATCGATGACCTCTGTAAATGCTGTCGGAATGAGTTAATCACTAGTCTCAAATCTTCTTAAATACAACATTTCAGACATCATGGTCCGCATTAGTCTAAAAATTTCAGATAAAGCAGGGTGTGTTTTAAGGCAGGGCTACCTTGAAAGTTACAGGCTGCCACCATATGAGTGTACAGTGTCCCTCAGTTACCCAGTCAAATCCACCGTCACTGGTCACATCCATTTCCATAACACCAAAATGCAAAAGGTGAAAGCAGCACAACAGGTTCACCAACGGGTGACGTCATTATGGGTACTGTGGGTTGATTACTGATATATTCATATATATATATTTATACAGGTCAAATGACCCTAGAGGACACAACTGCAGATAATCACAGTATACAGAAACAGTAAATAAGTTCAGATTAGATTTGTGCAATAGTTACTGCAGACTGGGAACTCTGTTGACTCTGGGACTTCATTGGCTCTAGCACTTTATATTGTGTGCAAGTGGTTTTATGGAGTCCTTAATGTTTTTTAATATCATATTTTCTCATATGCACCAACTCCTGAATGCAATGACAATGAAAGCCCTTTTATCTTATGCCATTTAGTACTGACCAATTTAGAAGAACAAAAAAATAGGCTATACTGAAGTTGAAAAAAACTAATTACGTGCCCAATTTGTTTTTCTTTATATCTATAAATGAAATCAGTCACTTCCAGATCAGTATATAAAATTATGGAAATGATGTCCAGCTCTTCGTCTATTTGGTTTATGTCCTCTAAAGAGGACAGCTGTCTGCGTAAATATTTTTATACAAATTGCAATTCACAGCAGGTGGAAGCTTTTAAGATAAGCTGGTATGTTACCAGAGACTCAGAGAGTGAGATTAGCATGCAGGAAGGAACCAGATGATGTTTCAGATATAAATTATCTTCCACTCATCAAGTATTTCTGTTGAATTTTGTATGAATTGTTGATTGCAGAGAGGATTCATCATTCATGAAAAAAACGAGGCACAAAATTCAAACTGTACACTGTTGGAGCTCCATCTTTTTATGCATATCATTTTTTATTATGCTCATTTCCATGCTGTACCTGTCTGGGAGTCACCACAGGCGCCAAATGGGGCTGGAAGGTACTCCGTCGGTCTGTGATCGGGTTTCCATGTTTAATTGGAGGCAGCTCCTCATCTACAAGATAAAATATTATCCGTAATAAGACAGAGACTGATTTTGTCAGAAATGATACCATCGTAGACTAAAATGTGCTTTTACCATTTGCCTGTTCCAGGAAGAGGTGCACATTTTCTGTATTCAGTCTGAGACTGCTGAGATCTGGAATGTCTTCATCATCATCGACATCCTTCTCAGCCGTCATGTTCACTTTTTCTGGTTCTTCCACTGAAGGAGGTAATATAAGAAATGTTATGTCATGTTAATAAGAAAGTTGATTTTTTTTATGTCCCTGATGCCTGTAAAGGTCTTCACCGAGCTGTCTGTAGTCTCAGGGTGCCTGGCACTGAAATGACACCTACTGAGCAAATCATCCCCAAATTACCATTACATAACCTTAACATTGGCATGTGAATGCATGATAAGGCTAATATAATCTTCAACCAGAATACTGTAAACGTGACTGAGTAAAGTGCCATCGATAAAACAGGAAGGATGTGACTGCAAATTAATTACAACACATCTGACAACATCTAATAAACAAGCCAATGTCGAGAGATCAAACACCAAAAGCCGATCTAAAGGTGCTGACATTAGAACCCTGTTGTTATGGAAACAAAGGTGTGCCATGTGTGAGGACGGCCTTCATCAGCTGATAATCTATGCACATATAGATCATGTCTTATACGCGGTCTTTCAACACAATCATAAATAAATGTGCCAAAAATTAAATGCATGCATGACCTTCCCTCAGCTTTTGATCATAGCAAGCTGATATCATAGCAGTTAATAAAATCTGCTCTTTGAAAAGTCTGCCAGCATTAATATTTAAGTATCCTCCAACAAAAGTTGGGATTTTAGAGAATAAGCTTTGTTACCTGTCTATATTTTTGTAAATCCCATGAAAATATCAAACCAGCGATGCATTAATAATAACCATGGCGAGCCAGATGGGTTGTTAAGCAAAATCAATTGGAAAGCCTTTGGAAAAGGGCATGCTCTTGTTAAAAATACCAGGAAAGATGTTTCTGTTCTTCCACACCAATCTGATTAATAAACCATAAGATGTATCTATAAGAAGCATGTAGCTTTTAGGCCTGAAACATGTACAAATGTACAAGTGCTTGAAACTTGTATTTATTATAAATGAGCTGTATGACGCATCACCTCTAATTGCAAAAAGAAGAAGTCAGGCAGCACAATAAAGCCCTCTTGGTCAGTTTTTCATAGATTCATTTGCCCGTTGCATCTGAATTTCAAACACCAAGGTATCAGTGGCCAAAGCTGTCGTCCCAAGGTACAGTGGTCTTTCTTTTATATACAGTCTATGCTTCAGAGTCAGGTCATTCTCAAATGCACGACCGTGTCATCTAGTGTAAGTGCAGCTGAATTCTCTGAGCACATGTGTGTTTTTCACACACTGTGAATTTTCCATTAGCGTGAGAGCACCTACATGTAAAAAAGCTGCAGTCCAAGGACTTTCAAGCATTAGCAGTCAGTGCAGGTAACGATGTCGCTTATAGGTTCTTTATTCTTCAGCACACAGAACTGACAAAATAAAAACCATTAGGCAGATATTTATGTAGTTAGACCCGTTATCACTCTATGATAATTAACTGTAAGCTGCACATGGAGATAAATATAGATTGTTGAATGGTAATAAACTGAACTAATTACTTGAAGCATTAAAATACATATGTCTATGCTACAAATCATCACAATTAATTATTTCTAAGCCTAAATAGCCTTAAGACTAAAAACATTACAAGCTTATAATTATACATTTAAATTAATTTCAAAATTTGACTTGAAAATGTTCCTCCAGTTATTGATATAATGACCTACATCTTCCTGCAGTTATCCATTTAAAGAGGTTAGTGGTAGTAAAGTAGCTGCTCTTGTTCATTTTCTTTTACCACTCAGCTGATGCTAAACTCAGCAATGCCAAATAAGTCTGAACTTCTCTACTTTGTTTTTTTCCATCCACTAGTATTTATCTTAGAAGTTATTTTTAACTCTAAAAAATGACAGAACTCTGTGTGTTTGCTGGGCACTATATTCACCTGTGGATTAGCACATTTTGTTTAGGTGTTCTTGAGTATTCTGTACGCATGAACTACTTAAAACAGACAGTGGAACATGTCACCAAGTGCGATAGTGTGACTCACTCTAGTATTTGTAAGAGTATATCAGCTACAATTCATTGCCTTGGAGAAAATATGCAAATGCAAAATTGTCATAAAAAGCACGTACCTTTAAAGGGAACTAAAAAAACAACCTTGTCAACAACAGGGGTCTGTGGCACAGAGGATTTGCTGCAGCAGGCTTGGCATACACAATACTTTTTAGTAGAATTAATCCATCGTTGTTTGTGTGTGTGTGTATGTGTGTGTGTGTGTGTGTGTGTGTGTGTGTGTGTGTGTGTGTGTGTGTGTGTGTCTTTTCCTAATAGGATTTGATAAAAAGGCAAATAAAGACTTTAATATGTGTGTTTGTGTGTGTAGTAGAAGTATATTTTTCAGGGAAATAAAAGCTAACAAATCTTAGAGGACCAGAATAAAGAGAAGAAATGGCAAAGTTGAGCTGCTCATGGATCTAGCATGTTTTATGCTAATAAAGGTTCACAATATTTATTCTATGCCTGCACAAAGCACAAACTGGACAGAAGCACACACACAAAATTACAAATCATTAAAATGTTCTATATTTAGATGAATAAATTCTGTTTTTCTACCTTTTTTCCTCCTGTGCGATCTAATGAATCCAAACTTCATCATCAGAAACAATATTCTGTCTGTACTTTTCATGTCTTTTCTCATGTTTACCCACTTTTCATTTCCTTTTCTGTGAAGTGTACATCTTCAGACTCATCGTCCCCCTCTTCCTCTTGCACACAATGTCCCTGTCTTTTGAATGAATGAGCTGTCAATCCCGCTCCTGAGCTGAAGTGCTGTGACCAGTTATACTTATTACCACATGAATTGCAGAAAGGGGAATTATGACACGCAACAATGGGGAGGACAGTTAATATTTTTCAAGCTTGTTACTCAAAAGAGACCGTCTGCCTCAATAATAGATGTTGCTCAGCGCTAGATAATTGAGACAGACAAGAAAGCCCCCTTCTGAAAATCTGATTCGGTGTGACACTTGTAGAGAATCTTTAATTTGAGTACCTTTATGTCTTTTTACACTTCAAAAGACTCTGCCGGGGTAACCAAAGGTATTACACTGATATTGATCTCAATTCAGCGCAGTCACTCAGAGTCTTGAGGAGTTTTTAATGCCCCTACAGGCCTCATCTTATCACAGCTTTAGACCGCACTAGACAGTTGTCTTAGGAACGGAGGAGTGTTTTAACAGAAAAGAAGAAGCATCAAGTGGGTAAGTGGGTTGATCCAATAACTGACCTGCAGGTAATCAGTGGTCTAGATCCCGTCCAATGTGTGGATTATCGTGTAAACAAGTCCTTAGATAGACTGAAACTGACATTTTTCTAAACCCACTGCCAAAAAGTTTGTCCAAAGAAAAGGTCAAATGAACTGCCTCATTGACTGTCACCCACTTGCTCTAACCCCACTATAAATAAATGCTTTGAGAGACTCATCCTTGTTCGCATTAAGGCAGCCATCCCTGCTGACCTCGACTCACGCCAGTTTGCATATCAAGAAAAATGATAAACATAGGATGCAGTCATCACAGCTCTCCACACAGCTCTTACACAGTTTGTGGGTTTTAACTCGGCTGTAAATATAGTTATCCCTCACAAACTAGTTCACAAACCTAAGCTTAGGCTGTTAGTAGTGCATGTGTTCACTGGACATCCTGAGCACCCAGAATGTCAGGATGGATGATACTCTTATCCTGAACACTGGCACATCACAGGGGTGGGTTCTCAGCCCCCTCTTCTACTCGCTGTTCACTCCTGACTGCTCTCCCATTGACACATAAAATTTGATGATGATACCACCATCTGATATATGACTGTGATGAAAAAGCCTGCAGGGAGGAGGTCAGGCACCTCACACACTGATATTATCCCAATAATCTGGACTTAAACACAAGAAAAAATAGCAGGGAAATCAAAGTGGACTTCTGAAACACACTGATCACTCTGCCCTTTGCCACACAAAGAAGAAAGAGAGAGGTTAGCAAGCTTTAAGTTCCTTTATGTTTGCATCTCGGCCGACCTCACCGGGACCACAGACATCTCCCATCAGGTGGGGAAGGCCCAACAGAGGTTTTACTTCTTGGGGAAGTTAAAGCACGCTCACCTGACCTACTGTTGCACAGTGTGGTTCGTCAGCTGCATAGAAGAGAACAGAAAGGCTTTGCGACAGGTGGTGAGGGTGGCAGAATGTGTTATTGGTGCCACTCTACCCTCCCTCTGTGACACTGGTTGACTCCAAAGAAAAGCCTGTTGTTTTATAATGTACCACACCCAAACCAGACTTCATCTGTTCTTCCCTCTGCTCTCTGGGAAGAGATTCAGATCAATCCGGACCAAAATCAGCACCTTAAAAAAACTCTTTCTTATTCAGTAAGAATAGACTGTCCTCTAATATCTGGAAATTTAGTTTTAAGCATCTTGCTCGTATCTCTTGCACCGTGCAGTGTTATTCTGTATGTGCTACCTCACTGTGTTTATCTTTATTTCTATTTATTTTATGTTTATACTACAGGCTGTTTGTCTTTTGTTGTGAAAGAGCTTTAGAGCCGCCGAGTGGTTTTTCATTGTTTTGTGAACAATGACAATAAAGATCTATTCTATTCTATTCTATTCTGTTCTAATTTATCAGTCGCAGCCACCACTTGACAGATTAATAACACAGTGAGCTACTTTCAGCTACTTTCACTTATTCATGTGGTGGCTCCACATGTTTGATTTGGCAGTTTGTACCCTTCCTGACATGACTTTTCCTGTGAATGTGTAAACCACTACACTATGTAGACAACTAGTCAATGAGATAACACAAAAAAGCCAAGAAAAAAAAGAAGTACAGTTCTGTCAAGCACAGATACATGCAAGGATAAAATAAGAAATTTAAGCTTAAAATGTGATATTTCAAAGTCAATTTATCCAACATGTCTCACCAAAAATAACCTACAAAACCCATATGCTGTAAAAAACCAATAAATGATACAGCTTGTTTGGGTGAAGCAGCCCAGGAGGGTCATTTAACTCAATAATCCAGCACATGGAATGTCGTTTTTACACCTTTAACTTCATCAGTTTGTATATAGAGACTGTTAAGCCTCAGTCCTTTAATATGTATTCAGGAATCACGTGCAAGTTTACAGGAGACAGTGTATACACACAGACTGTAAATAAAAGATTGACATAGCCGCTGTAATGCCACCGGTGGGTAAGGCCCTAATTACACCGTCCTACAGACTGGCAGGTGACCCCTGTCAACCAAATATTGGCCCCTGTCAACCAAAGCAATGACAAGGAGGCTTCTGGGGCAGCACCCTCTCATTTCCAGCAATAACTTGCCAACCAGTTAGAGAATGCACATTGCTCTCTGTAGTTGCCAGCAGGTCAAGAGGCTTGTGTGACTGAGGCCTTAGTGGTTATTTTACTTTGTTGTATTTTGCTTGTTTGTTTTTTTCTAACATATGTGAACACAGTTTAATGATATGTTAGCACTGGTGAGTTATTAGCTGATCGCCGTCACCGGCTCACCCAGCAGGGTGACAACAATACCCCAGTGTTTTACAGCTAAGGGATACAAACGAAACCAAAACAACACATACTCACAGAAAGACACTATAAACTGAACAGCTGACTCCTTAGCATCTTTTAGTAAAACCAGACAAGAATGTGAAGAAACCCCTGTAACCTAAAGTGGCCACACCCTTAATTCTGCATAACTTAACATAGTTCCCATGGATGAATTATATAAAAACTAACCAAAGTGCATTCACTATCAAGGTGGAAATTATTTACTTTTTGAATAGAATAGAATAGAATAGAATAGAATAGAATAGAATAGAATAGAATAGAATAGAATTCAACTTTAACAACTTCAACAACTACTTTTTGTACCAGGGTGTAAATATAATTATTTTGAGAGTTTGAGACTAAAATGTCTACAGTTACAACTCTATGAATTCAACGAAGCACTTCTGGAGAGGTCAAGACTGAGGTGGTCTGTCAGGTGTTATTCCGAGTCATTAAAAATGGCCATAAAGTGGGACCTCAAGTGGGAATTTCCTTTTTTCACACCTCACCTGTTTCTGAGTTCTGGGACTTCTCAACGAGGAAATCTCTAACTTTTTCTACCCACAGGTAGAGGATGCTCTCCCCCGCGTGCTCCCTATAAAAATGAAATATTTTTATGTGAGGGTGGGTGAAATAAGAGGCATGTAAACTACAGTGATATTAAATCATGGAAAACAATGACAATGAAAGCTTTTGATGTGGCTAATATCCCTCTACGGTATCTCTTCATGAAGTCAAAAATTATGAAAGGCACTCACACATAGATGTCTTCCAGGCTGTTTGCCAATTTGGCCCTCTCAGGGCCTCGCAACCACACTGCACTACAACAGCCGAGAACAAACGCAGGGTTATTGAGTAGGAGTAGGAGTGGGCCGTTGAGTGGGATGCTGTTCTTTCAAATCATCAGAGCTCTTCCATATTAAATTTGAAAGGCAAATCAGACTTACTTGATCTGGTATATGGGCGGAGCTGCGCTTGGATAATCAGGTGGGAGAATTATCTGATCAATAAAGGGGGAAAAAAAATCAGAACAGCATTACAAACAAAAATGCATGATGGACACTAATATGCAATTTTCTGCACCTGCAAACACGCCGTCAGTTTTGGCTCCTCCAAGTCGGCGGATATTTTAATGCAAAATATCCTGGATGCTTCATCAATCACACACCATTCATCACCATAGATAGAAGACAAAGCCTCAACCTCTTCAATCTAAGAGAGAACGAAGAACAACAAAGCAATTAGATTAATCATATCAGAGTCGGTGGTGATTGTTTGGACCATGGATGCACAGAAAGCTTCACTCACTTTATTTAATCCATGTGTAACTGACATTTAATTTGATTCACAGAGGTACTTCAAAAAAGCATTAGTTACCCCTTGAGTAGAGGCAGTAAAGTGTTTAAATACCTGGGGTCAACCTTCCAAAGCAACAGACAGTGCACAAGAGAGGTGAAGCACAGAGTGCAGGCAGGGTGGAGTGGGTGGAGATGAGTGTGGTCTTGGTACTGACAAAAAGACAGGAGGCTGTGTCAGAGATGCTAGCTGAAGATGCCAAAATTAGAAATGAGTACATGAGCACCTCAGGTCAAACAGTTTGGAGCCAAACTAAGAGAGGAAAGGCTGAGGTGGTTTTCGACATGTGCAGAGGAGGGATAGTGCATATACTGGACAAAGGATGCTGCAGATGGAGCTGCCAGGCAGGAGAAAAGAGAAAGACCTCAGAGAAGGTTCAAGGATGTCGTGAATGAGGACATACAGAGAGTTGGCATTACAGAAAATGATGATAGGGATAGGGTGAGATGGAAGGACATGATCCGCTGTGGCGACCCCTAACGGAGAAGCCGAAGGAGTTTTTGGAAATATCCTTACTCGCTTTGTCTCCAAGATGGTAAGATGGTAAGAGAAATGCCATGCTTGCATCTGTACATTATGTTTATTGAAAGATCTAGGAAACAGTTAATTTAACATAAAGGCTGTAAGTAAGGGTGATAATAAAAAATACCCACCTAGTTTGCAGATATGAACTTTTTGCTAAAATGGGCTGAATGCTGCTGCTGACTTTCACTTTCACATAATCTTCACAGACTTTGTGGATAAATAAAAAACAGTCTATCTGCAACATGATGAAGGACTTTCAGCTATTTCTATAAAACGTTACATTTTAGAATACTGGCACTTTATTTTCTTGTGCAAGCTTTGATAAGAGTGGAAATACTTCCACAAAAGCACTAACTCTGTTGTTAATGGGAAATGGCAGAACAAATACATCACGCCCCTTTCACTTCCTGATAAAATTGCCAAAATAGCTCTTTCCCTACCTATCTGACTATCACTACTTCATTAATCACTGTGGTTGAACTTATCAAGTGAAAGGGGCAAAGATGAAGTGTATTTAATAAGAATATTCAAATTAATGTTTTTGTTTTTACACTCTTCTGGACTAACTTTGGAATAACCTTGGGACCTGGAGCAGCTCCTCAGCTTGGCCTCGGCCATAAATTAGCTGTTGCAGCTCTCATGCCACTCTGCGTACGTCAGTTTCTTTTTGACAGGCAAAGAAGACTTGAACATCAGAGGGGCAGAGGTGTATGTCTGAAATGATAATAGCAGGAGAATCCTTGCTCATACATAGACAAGACTAAACCAAGGGTGAGCAGTTAATTTTTCCAAGGGGCAACATGGGAAATTGGGCTGTTGCAAAAAAGCTGAACTCAATTCACTTCAATGTTAATTTTTATCTCTTTATAAAATGCTACTGGTAAGAGTAAATATTACAATTAGGCCCTAATTGTGTCCACTTGGGAAATTGAATTGTCCAGCCCCGCTGTAAACTGAGTCCTTAGAGCTGTTTTCACTGGGATTACTTGTACTTAGATTGATCTCAATAATTAAAACTTATTGGCCTTTCTTAATATGACTAGCCATTATTGTAACAGTATCTACATTCAGCAGCCATTTTATTAGTTACACCTTGCTAGTTTCAAGCCGGAACCCCCTTTGCTTTCATAACTCTGTTAAGTCTTTGGGAAATAGATTTAAACAAGGTGCTGGAAATATTCTTCAGAGATTTTAGTGTGTATTGACATGACAGCATCACACAGTTCCACCTGCACATCCAACCAACTCTCCTGTTCCAGCACATCATAAAGCATGTGGATACTATTGGATGAGATGTGGTGACTCTGAAGGCTATTTGATTTTGTGACGTTGTGATGTTCAAGAAACCAGTTTGAGATGATTTGTGAAATGGTGCGTTATCCTGCTGAAAGCAGCTGTTAGAAGATGGGTACACTGTGGTCATAAAGAGGTTATAACATTTAAATGATGCTCAATTGGCACTAAGGGGCCCAAAGTGTGCCTAGTAAATCTCACTTACACCATTATACCACCACCACCCTGAACTGTGATATATGGCAGGAGGGATCCAGGCTTTTATTCTGACCCCACCAGCCGAATGTTGCAGGGTTGGTGTGTTGCACATTTAGAGATGTTCTTCTGCATTACTCGGTTTTAATGAGCGGTTATTTGAGTTACATTCCTATCAGCTGTAAGCAGCTTGGCCATTCACCTCTGACCTCTGGCATCACAAGGGACGTTCACACAGAGAGAACAGGATATTTTCTCATTTTTAGACCATCTTCTGTAAACCCTAGCAGTGGTTGTGTGAGAAAATCCCAGCAGATCAGCAGTTACTGAACTGCTCAGAGCAGACCATCTGGCACCAACAACCTTGCCACATTCAAAGTCACTCAAATCACCTTTTTTCCCCATTTTGATGCTCAGGTTGAACTTTAGCAAGTCATCTTGACCATGTCTAAATACCTAATTAAAATGAATTTCTGCCATGTGATTGGCTGATTAAATATTTGTGTTAAGTAGTCATTAAATAGGTGTACCTAATGAAATAAGACAAGTATCAATATGTCCCCTTTGAATATGTAAAGAAAAGCAATGGGACAAATCTGAGCTGTAAACTGAATGACAACACACACACACACACACATTGTGAGATTACAGTTAGTGATCGCAAGACAGTATATGTCATTATTTTCTTTATGATTCCCAACTTAGATGCCAATGTTTACTTTCCCTGAATATAAAGACAGTGGGTACACAACTGTATAGCAACAAAAATTAAATTATGTATGCCTGCGATGGTGTTCACTTTTTTCCCTTTTTTTCTGCTGTTTTGACACTTTGCGTTGATGTGTGGCCTCTGTGCACCCTGCTGCACCTGCTGCGCTTCAAACATCACTTCCAAAAGTGTTAATGAATCCAGACACCTTGGGAACAATCTTCAGTATATGTGTGTGTCTGTGTATGTATGTTTATTCAAGTTTTTTATGTGCTGCTCATGTATATTCATCTTCATCTTAAATAACGCAGCAGGGCTTGTTCAACCTGTCAGCTCTACATCTACCGCATTTGGCTTACGTGCTCTCACCAGGCCAGTTGAAAATATTACAACAAACAAGACATTTCGCACAAACTGACAGGATTGCCTAACTTTTTCTGAGGATTAAAAAAGGAAGTACTTTGTGCTTACTTGAGCCTGAAGATCCTCATCATCCCCCGGAGTTATGATATCCGCCATTTATTCTTCTCATGACTAAGTGTCACCTATATTAAATGTGTTGATTATTCAGTAAACCACAAAACTCATAAGACACACGTACATGAGTTATGTGTTGACGCCCAGCTCTGAGAAACTACTTCCTGGTCAAAGCAGAATGACTCGTATATGCGTATTTTAACTTCCGGGTTTTGCATTGAAACCAGGACAACAATAAAATCGTAAGAAGAAAGAACATAAAAAACCGAGAGCGTCTCAGTTTTATTTTAATTTAAGACAGCAGTTAAGATTCATCAATTTTATTTATTTATTTGTTATTCATGCTCTTTATTTGCAATAACAGACTTTTATTTTGAAAGGAGTGGGATTGGGCCAGGGCGAGTTCCGCTGCACGATAATCAGCTGATCTCAGTGTAAACAGTGCACGGAGGTTGTGTCATGTGCTGGGGGAAGAGACAGGGGCAGTGATAGTTTTCGGCTGTCGGTCAGCTGGACGATAAATGGGAAATGTATGAAGTGAAGAGCGACAGCGTGATGTGTTCCGCTGTGTTTGCGCTGCAGTGAGACAGCAGGAAGGGCTTAAAACATCACATGCAGCTTCACAGAGGGCCTGTGTGAGCAGCTCTGCCTGAAAACACTGGATTTTACCTTTACGGGACTGCATTAGTTTAAGTAGTAAGTGTGTGTGTGTGTGTTTCTGTGCTTCTGTGCGCGCGCTCGGTATTTATTCAGTCGCTGCTGTGTTTATTCTAACGACCCATGAGGAATTTAGCTTGCAACTGAGACGATTTAAGTTGAGCAAGAAGTGAGGTTTGAGGGTAAAATACTACATCAAGTAAGGAAATAAAGGTTCAGGTAAATTCAGTCTAACTGTAGAAAATTGGTCATTGCGACTAATATGTTATCTTTATCAGTGGTTTCACAGTGTAGCTGCTCGACATGGAGACGGTCTTAACAAATTTTTGTACACTCAGGTATTTTATCCACACCGAGGGCCTCGTCTGAGGAGTTGTAAGATAAATGGAAGGGGTCATGA